ATTTCAGAACTTTCACTTAAGTCTGCCAAGAGGACCTCTCGCGCCGCCTGCCGAAATCATTCGAACGCCATTGCGCGCGTGCTGGGGGGTGTGCCCGTGTCAAATAGTACCAGGCGGGCCACTCTTGCGCGTCGGCCGCGCGCGCATGTCGAACTAATTCCGAAACCTGCATCACCGACGCGAAGACGCTGTCATCGTCGCCGGCGTGATCAGCATCGGCGCCGTCACTGGCCTGGCCGTCGTCGTTGTCATCATCGTCACCAGAATCGCTACTCGTGTCTACCGTTGTCGACGCTGCCGTGATACAGCGCCCACCCAAATCGCCGACTCGCACAAAAAGTGCTCCTTGGGAAGTGTCCGGCTGTCAGCGTCACCGCGGCTGCGTCGGTCGCGCCGGACTAGCTGGCCGTTGGGCGCGCGAGCATGCGCGGGGCAGCGCGGCCGCAGAGATGCACCAGCCAGCATCAAGCACTCATCGCAATCGCCGCCGCATGGGATTATGAAAACCAAGTTGCGGGCGGGTGGGTGGGATGATTACGCGAGAAGTAGGGTGGACGTCTCATTGGGCGCGCATTTTAATTGCACAACGTATGTTGCACCACGTAGATATCACACCATACATTGCCCAACCACAGAGATTCGACACCGTATACTCCGTATATGGTAAATCATCGGTTGCACCACATAGAATGTACTGTGTCCATCGCACCACACTTATTGCACCACATATATTGCCCTCTTTATATTGCATCGCATCGATTGCACGATGTTGGTTATTGTCTGTTGCGTTTTCTTGCATGTTCGCAACATTAATGGCAGTACAAATGCGGCGATACTTTTGTATATACATATATTTACGCATTTGTATGTATATGTATATCTATAGACATTGCACAACACATATTGCACAACACATGTTGCACAATGTAGATTGGACAACATGGGTTGCACCACATTTGTTGGCATTCCGTACACATAACATGGGTATCACCATATATGTTGCACAGTATATATACAATTCATACATGTTGCACAGCATAGGTTTCTAGAAACACATTTGGACATGCCGCTATCGCTTTCGACCTAGTCGCGATTCATGCAGGACTCACGTTCCAGCGGCCCGCCCGCTCGACCCAGGCGTCTGGGCCCGCCCGCCCGACCCGCCCGTTAGGGTCCACCCGCCCGACCCACCCGTCTGCTTTTGCCGCTTGTTGTCCTGCTCGTACCCCTTCCCTCCTGCTAATCTCTCTTGTGTTCCGTCCCTCTTCCTTCCCCTTGCTCCTTCCATCCCCCTTCCCTTCCCCCACTCCCTTCGTCTTCACTCTCTTTTTTCTCCGTGTCCTCATCTTCTGTGTTACGGGCTGCGCCAACTACACGTAGCAGTTAAGGAAGATATGCCCCCAAAGGTGTACGATCGAAGAGGAAAGAGTGGGTATCGAGGGCTTGGAATGTACATGATGACTGACACGCAAGCATATAAGAGCGCACAGTCTTAAAGTGGCTCCTGGTGATGCGCTTTCATTTTTAAATGTGTGTTCATCCTGCCCCTCGGCTTCACTTTGTGTTTTTCAATCGAAGTGCCCCTCCCGGGAATCGCATCTTTTTTACAAGGGAAGGTATTGGGCCTCAGACTGTGCCCCTGGCCCCCGGTTTACAACACAAGCGGCTCCCGCATGACACGTCCGCACATTTCATTCGAAAATGCGTTCTCGCGCGGGACATCCTCACATTGTCATTAGGAATCGCTTTCTCTTGCGTGGGAATTCTTCGTGACTTTTTGACGCCGCGCCCTCGACATTCAGGAATCACGCTCTCGCTTTGGACTGAACGATTAACTTTGGAATTCGACTATGGTTCGAGACGTCCTCGCGATTGTTGCAGGACTCACGCTTCAGCGACTTGCCCGCTCGAACCAGGCGTCTGGGCCCGCCCGCCCGACCCGCCCGTTAGGGTCCGCCCGCCCGACCCACCCTTGTGCTTCTGCCGCTTGTTCTCCTGCTTCGAACCCCACTTTTGCTGATCTTTTTCGTGCTCCATCCTTCTCCCTCCCCCTCGCCCCTTCCCTCCTCCCTCCCTCCCCCTGTTTTACGGGCTTCGCCAACTGCACGTGGCAGGTTAGATGGATATATCCCTCCAGGTAGGTGCGCTGGACGACGAAGATGGGCGGGCGTTGAGGGTTTGGGGTGTACGTGTGGAATGACACGCGAGCAGGTAAGGGCCAACGGTCTTAACATGTTTGTTGGCGCCGTCGTCTAACATTCGCTTCGGAACAACAACTACTGCTGATCCGTAGAGGCGTTTCTGGGTGCTCTCGCCTCGACGCCGGCTACGCTTCTTTGGAAGCGAGGCTCCCGCTCGAGGGCGGGGTTCGTTCCGAGTCCCGGCCTTTCAAGGCCCACATGCGACGACAACGGCTCCTGCTCGATACTTCCCCCGAGAGGCCCCCGAACTCAGGAACGGCGCTCTCTCTCTCTCTCTCTCTCTCTCTCTCTCTCTTTTTCTAGAGAGACAGAGATTATTTCACAAGTCAGTCAAGCTGGTGAAGGCCTAACTGCGATGTATTTCTGAGCAATTTGCTCAGAGGCGCCTTCGCCAGAGGCGCCCCCGCTCTCAGGAATGATGCTTTCGCTCGAGACTGCCTCGCAATCCGCTTGGGTATGTGAATATCCAACTCCCACTCCCACTCCCATGCCCCCTGGTCCGACTCGTTCTCACACTCAGGAGTGGCGCTCTCGCCGGAGACGTCCTCTCAATGTACGTGAGTTGGTGAAGGCCCGACTGCAACATCAACAGCAATGGCGCCATCTAGACATTTCCTAGCGCCTTATTTGGAAGCGCCCTTGCCAGACACGTCCTCTCCGTCAGGCAGGACACCCGAAGCTCCGCACGAGCTCACAGAAGGCCCTCTCTGATGTTCTCGTGCCTGTGGCGCAGAACACTCCGGGGCTCGTGCATGCAGCGCTGAAGCCTTCTTGGGCTTGTGTTAAGTCGGGCATGTGCCTAATTCAAGAACAGGAAAGAAGTAGTCTGGTGATGATTTTCGTGTCAAAAGATACTTGTTTGACTATTACTTGTTTTCTTCTGGACTCCGCTTGTAAGAGGGCATGCCCGACCTAAGCCTAAGGCTTGTGTCACATTGGCCGGGAGCGCTGTAGACTCTGGGGCTCGTGCTCGCAGGCGCCTGGTGCACAGTCCTGCGGGGCTCGTGCCGCAGATGCCGTGGGCACGATGGCCATGGCGGAGTGACTCTAGGCCTCCTAGATGGCGTCGGAGGATCGCTGCGCATCGCCGTTGCATCGGCGATGCATCGGCGATGCGGGTCGAGGTGGGGCCCTATTTTCTCCACGTCGACGTCGCAGATGTATCGCCGACGTCGCCAGTGCATGGCCGATGCATCTGCGATGCATCGGCGATGCATCGCCGATGTATCGGCGACGCGGCGAGATCCTCCGACCTCATCTACTAGGACCCCATCTAGGAGGCCTCTAGGAAGTTGCTTGACTGAGTGCATGCATCATAGACTGCTTCCACCGGACCCTCCCAAAGGGGGTTTGTGCATAGATTGATAGGGCGGGTACAAGGGACAGGGATACACAAACGTAGGTCACAACAGTTCCTTTGGTCCAAATGTTCGCAAGATGGTCGTCGTTGTCGTCGTCTTGAGGGCTCCGACTCCGAAGGTCTCCAAAGGCGCCCCGAGGCCCTCGGAGTTCCCCAGTGTAGGTCCGCAGGATCCTCTCGAAACCGCCAAGAATTCCAAGAGCGTCCAAGATCCTCGACCGTCGCCATCATGAGTGTCGTCGACCTCGCAGGGGGAGGAGGAGGGATAGGAGGACTCTGCAAGGGCTTTCCCGAACGGGTGTGTGCCGTCGTCGTCGTCGTCGTCGTCGCCGTCGACGTCGTCGTCGCCGTCGCCGTCGCCGTCGCCATCGCCGCCGCCGCCGCCGCCGCCGCCGCCGCCGTCGTCGTCGTCGTCGTCGTCGTCGGCGGCGGCGGCGGCGGCGGCGGCGGCGTCTTTTGGTGTGGCGGCCAAGCCGACCACGGCATCCTTCTTCTTTAGGGCGGCGCAGGGCGCCCCAGAACGGTGGGCGCCACCCGCGCGCGCGCGAAGGCCGAGCTCGGCTCTTCTCGCAGCGGTCGGCAGGCCGCGCGTCAGACCAGACCCTACAGAGGCAGCAGAGGTGGTCAGGCTCGGCTCGGCTACGCGCCAGGGGTTCCCCTCATGAGCTGGCAACTCACATCCATACCTATCCGATCGCTCGAATGCTGTGGGGTGTCTATTGGTGTGTGTGTGTGTGTGTTGTCGGATGGGGGTCCCCGCTCGAACGGGAGCCCCCCTCGGGACCCGACTATTCGCACCCATACAAACTGCGCCCTCATCGCCTGGCCCTTCCCCCTTCCTCCTCCTCCTCCTCCTCCTCCTCCTCCCTCCTCCTCCTCCTCCTCCTCCTCCCCTCCTCCTCCTCCTTCTCTCCTCCTCCTCCTCCTCCTCCCTCCTCCTTCCTCCTTCCTCCTCCTCCTCCTCCTCCTTCCTCCAGGTTCGAGTGTGTGCTGTTCTCTTTCAGCATCTCGAGGGTGGCCTTCGGGGTGCGCGGCCTTCGGGCGCGGCGCGGCGGGGGCGGACAAACAGCACGACGACCGGAGCCCTGTAGACCCCATCTCTCTTTCTGCGGCACCTTGCCCGCCTCGCTTTGCGATGGCCCCACGGGCCCCAGATCGGGCGAAAGCGCTTGGCGTGAACAATTTCGAGAGTGTTGTTTTGTTCTCATTTCTGCACGGGCCATCACGCGCGTTATGCCCCACCCCCCCCCCTCCCCCCCTCCCGTGACGTAACGCCCCCACCTCCCCCCGGTGCGTCACCTGCACTGCCGCAGTGCGTCGGGCACCACTGTCTGTGGTGCGGTGCCAGACCCAGACGGCGGGGGGAGGTGCGTTACGCTATGCCCCCCCTCCCACAGCGCCCGCTATCGCCGCGAATCAAGGTTAACATTCATTTGCTTCGCCCGGATCTTTGGATGCGGCGGTCTTCGGGCTTGCGGGTGGGGGGGTCGGACGGGGCTAGGACGAGATGGAACGCTCTGATGAGGCCGCGGCGCCCCAGACATCCTCAAGAGCCGCGGGATCTCAGAGATTCTCGATTTACCCTCACCCGAGTTTATCCTCGTTCTGGCTTCGTCTTCCTAGGTCTCCAGATGGGGTTGGAGTAGATGGTATCGGAGGTTCGATCCGCATCGCTGATGCATTGGCGATGCCGCTCGATGCTGAGCCAGATTTTCTCTATGACGATGCAGCCGATCGCGTCGTGTCGAAGGGCGGCGACCCCGCCGCCAGCGTTCAACGTTGGACGCCGCTGGCGACCCGGAGTCGGTCGACGTTTAACGATCCTGCAGGGTTGATCCATCCCCGCGGTGTGGGCCTTTCGGTAGTCTAAGGGTGGGGGGCGAGCCCGAGAGCGCAGGCCGCTTCCGCCCCGCAGCGCGCGGGCAGCGGTCGGCAGGCCTCTCGCGCGTCGGGGGGTCGCTCTCCTGCCCCAGGGCTGGGGGGGGGGGCCTCCTCTGCGCGTGGCCGGCCGGCGGCCGGCTGGCTGTCCCCGCCTCGAGGCGAGTCGACGCAAGAGCGACCTCTCGCCGGAGCGATCTTTCCCTCCAGATCGTGCCCGTGCTCCATGCTCCATCATCTCGCTGCTTCTGCCGAGGTGGTTGTTCGTCCACACACGGTGTCTTCCTTTTGTTTCTCCTTCCCGGTACGATGCCCTCTGGCCTTCTGCACTTCGGTGCTGCGGGCCGTATCCATGCACATTCCGCATGACATAGGTATCCGCCGTGCACCGTCTCCTGCAGTGTTGCCGTCGCACTAATATTGTCGGCACACCTTATATCATCCCTTGGTGCCGATGGGTTGGGCACGTCGCAGGGTAATTGTGTACCGCACCCTCCACGCCCCGGTCGGATTCCACTGCCTAGGGCCACGTTCAGTATACGAAAGCCACGCCCGAGGGAGTTTCGTTTATCCGACCCACGAAAAGGACCCTGACTCGCCCCCCTGGCCTTTTTGGGTATACTGTACAGTTTCTTCCGGCGGACCCTTTGGTGCGGGCACGGGTGGGTCCCCAGATGGCTGAATTGGAAGCGGTAGCAGCGGCTTGCGCGCCCATGTTTGGCCACACCGCGTCCATTGTGGAGCCGCGCACCAAAGGTCACTTTTGCCGAGGGTCGCCCTTGCGTGTATCCGATCGAGGAAATTCATGTCTTAAGTCGCAGCGCGGTAGAAGCAATCCGCACGCGCGCTCTAGTGAGTCAGGCTATGGCAGACGAGTTGCCTGGCAGCCCGAGGGAGGGACCTAGGCGGAGCACGGCCGCCCGAGGAATGGATCCCAGATCTCCAAAGATGTTTTTCTGTTTTTGTCAATCCGGGCGAATTGCCTCGATTTCGGCCTCTGGGGCTCGTTAGTGGCCCCTGGACCATCGAAGCTGGGGCCGCGGATTGAGAAGTCAGATCGGAGGATGTCAGGATCCGTGTCGCCTCCTTTGGCGACGGAGCGCGCAGATTCTGCACAGAAGCGGGGCCCGTCACTGATCCGCCCGCCTGCATGAGGGGAGCAAGCAGTGGCATAAACATCAAAACTCGGAGGTCCTTCCTGATTTCTCGGATCGGCGCTGGGGCCCCCTGGCAGCGCCTCTGGTGCGCTCTGCGTGCCAGGGAGTGGGGTCCAGCGCCGATCCGAGAGATCTGCGCGGACCTCCGAGCTCAGAGATGCTTTTTGTTCTTCCTTGTTGGCTCCCCGACGGAAGGCGCGCGGATCCGTGATGGGTGCCGCTTCCGTGCAGAGTGGGCGCGCTCCGCCGCCAAAGGAGGCGGCACGCGCTTCACGCTCATTGGGGGCACGTTCCGTGGATCCGTGGGTGTGGCGCCCACGCGCCAGCTCCACGGATCCCCAATCCATGTCAGCTCCTCCTGCAGGCAGGGACGCTGTGGTGACCTCGGGAGGGAGGCAGGGGATGAATGGGGGCCCGCCCGTGTTGGTCCGATCGATCTGATTCGAAGTGGGTTCCGGCCGGACCGATCCGATGTGATTCCGGTATGTTGGCGATGCCGTGCGGCCCGATGCTCACGCGGCGCTGTTGTGCATCCTGGCGCTGCCCATCCGATTCGATTTCGATTCCGTGCCGACGCAGCCCGATCCGACGCACATTCCAATTCGGTCCAGTTTTCCGATTCGATGCTGACTGATCTTGCCTCCTGCTGATCCTGCCTCTTGCAGGGACGCCGTGGTGACCTGGGGAGGGTGGCAGGGGAGGAAGGGGACCCTGACTACCCAGACCCTCCCCACGCTGTCAAAACAGCACGACGCGTTTTGGGTTGTTGCTGCTGCTACTTTCGGTCTCGGAGGGCCCGAGCCGGGCCCCAGGACCGTCAAGAAACGGCTCAAGATGAGAAGCCGGTCCCGGGGAACGGGTCGAGACCTCGAGGGGAGGGCATGCTACGCATGGAATGCATTGAGTAGAGGATGAAGTGTTGGATCTGTGCGTGGATCAGCCTAGGTAGTCTGATGATCAGAGGCTTTGATGCCTCTATTGGGTGTGGATCGGCGGGGGTTTGGATCATGACGTTGGGGGTTTGGGCGTGGAGCGATCATGACTTGGGGGGTTTGGGCGTCTCGCGTCGGTGTTGCTCGGATGTGCTTTGGCCTCCCCGCGCCTCCGGCGGCGGAGGAGGGGGGTCAGGGGATGCGATAGGGGGTGATACACCTGGGGGGGATGCATCGACCCCATATCGCAAATTGATCGCCGACAGGGGCCCGATCGCCCCAACCCGCCCAGGAAGCTGCGGATTTCCTACGGGGGGCCTATCGCCGATCCATCGGCGATGTATCGCCGATTCCAGGACGATGTTCCCCCCCATGCCAGTCCCCCCCCCTATCGTTGCCCCTCAGAGGTGGGGAGGGGCGAGTCAGGAGAGGGAGCGACGTCAATCCTGCCGCCCTCCCCTCGTTTTTGTTCGCCCTTGTGGTGCCTCCTGGGAGGCCCTCTTCGCCACGGCTGGGATCTGCCTTGGAGTCCTGGCCAAGAGCGTGCCCACGGAGAGGCCCGTGGGGTGACGATTGTACCGAGAAGTCGCGCGTGTCCCTCTACAGGAGGAAAATTCAAAAATAGTCAAAAACTAGTATGGGGACGATTCTTTAACAATTATTTTTGATTCATTTTAGTATCTGTTCATTTTCGCCCAAAATCCGCCTGTAGGAGGACATGCCCGACCTAATGGTATCGGCATGCTTTTAAGAGGGGGGGACCAGGACCTTGCATCGGGCTTTCTGGGAGGCCCTCGTCGCCACGGCTCGCACGTGATTTTTCTCCCCCAACAGCCGACTTTGCGACGAAAAACGAAACCGTTCGGAAAAGGAGGGGAACCCTGGGATACACTCCCAGGGGGCTATTCGGGCGCACGCCTATCGAGGATAGGCGCCCCCCATCGTATATCACAGAGTTGGGCCCAAATTTCTGGTCTATTCGAAAACCCCACGAAGCTTTTGATAGCGGTCGGCATATCCCCTGTGGACGGCTTGGTCCGCCTCGCAATCCTGGACAGCACGTGCCCCTGGAGAGGCTCGTGGAGTGACGGCTGCACCGGTATCTCTCTAGATTTGGGGGACCAAGACCTCCTCGTATCAATGAAACGAGTGCGACGGAAGATGGTGGGTTGTTTTCGGCCTCTTCGGACCCTTGCGGTATCGTAGGAACTGTTCTGGGTGGGCAGCCAGTTCCCGGGAAGGGGTCCAGACCTCCGGGAAGCCATGCTGCGAAACGCTCATGGAGTCGAATGTCGGGGGGTGATTGAAAGGTTCTCCTCCTCGATCCTCCTTCCTCCCTCCTCCTCCTTCTCCTCCTCCTCGATTCTCGATCCTCCTCCCTCCTCCTTCTCGATCCTCCTCCCTCCTCCCTCTCCTCCCTCTCGAATCTTACTCCCGCGGGCCGCCGCCTCGGCGTTCGCGCGGCGCGCCAGCCGGGCGCGCCAAGTGCCAATGACGGACCTTTCGCTCGGGCCTTTGGGCCTCGGCCCCGCGGTTCGCAAAGAGGCTGCGCCGCGCGGATGGTGTGCTCTGCTGTTGCTTTGTGTTGCCCTGTGGCCATCTTCAGGAGCGAAAGAAGGACGTACATGTACATGATTCCACGCTGGTTTCGAGAGCACGCACTGCGCAAATGTTCGTATCACGCGGCCGGTCTCGCGAATCGAGGGGCCGTGTTCATGTACATAGCTGGGCGCGTACGTCCTTTGTGGGCTCCCTACATCTGGATGGTTGTCTTTCTGCTCCCGGGCCAAGTCTCCTCGTCCGCGTAAGTGTTTTGTTGGCAGTGGGGGCCCATGCCAAGACGCACCCTGCTTGCCTCCAGGGTGCCCTGGGTTTCTTGGGTTTCGGTGGTTTTGCTGTGGAAGGCGTGACTTTCCCACACTAACAATCAATTGACGCCCTGGGGTCTCAGGGTTGGGATTCTTGTGGAAGGTTTCTTGTGGATTGACCTCCACTGTATTGTAGAAGCTGACATGGCTGCGTTTCCCGTAGACTCGCAGTTCCTCTCCCTTTACAGCCGTCGATGACGACGTTCGACGGCCTCGCCCTTGACTTCGACAGCGGCGACGGCGCGGCGCGGCGACGACGGCATCCTCAGTCTCAATCTCGACGACGGCGCCAACGATGAGCACGACGAGCACGACGACGACCTCGACCTCCACCTCGACCCTGGTTGACGGCGATGCTGACGAGAGCGACGACGACGAGTAGGTGCACGAGCACGGGCAAGCCGATCTCGACATCGGCCTCGGCCTCGACGGCAGCACGATCGCAGCACGACGCCGACGTCGGCGACAACCACAAGAACGGCGGTGCCGACGGCCGACGCGCCCTTTTGGCACCTCTCGCGCTCGCCGCGGCGTGCTCGCCAGGCGGCGGGGGCCCGCTGTACCGCCCGCCCGGCCGTTGCGTCGCTGCCGCCGCCGGTCGTCGTCGTCGTCGTCGTCGTCGTCGTCGTCGTCGTCGTCGTCGTCTTCCTCGCCCTGGCCCTCGCACTGGCCGCCCTCGCTCCCGCCCTCGCCGATGCGACGGGCGGGCACAGCACCAGTTCCTTGATCGAGGCTTCGGCCTCCACGCCGTGCCCCGATGGGCACGCGCGGGCTCCCCGGCGGAGCGCGCACGACCCCGGCGCTCGCGTCTCCGTCGGAGGAGGAGGAGGAGGAGGGGAGGAGGAGGAGGAGAGGAGGAGGAGGAGGAGGAGGAGGAGGAGGAGGAGGAGGAGGAGGAGGAGGAGACGAGGAGGAGGAGGAGGGAGGACGAGGAGGAGGAGGAGGAGGAGGAGGAGGAGGAGGCGTCTCCGTCGGTTCGCCGTGCTCGCCGTCCTCGCCGCCCTTGCCCTCGCCGTGCCCACCGCCGCCTCTCTGCCAGGACGCGCTGGCGGCCAAGAACCTGGAGAGGGCCGGCCTGTCCATGGACTTCCCAGGCGGGTCCCCTGACATCGCGCGGACGTGTGCGTTGCTTCTCGGCGAGGGCTAAAAATGGAGGGGGAGGTGGAGGAGGAGGAGGGGAGGGAAGGAGGAGAGGAAGGGAGGAGAGGAGGGGGAGGAGGAGGAGGGGGAGGAGGAAGAGGAGGAGGAGGAGGGGGAGGAGAGGAGGAGGAGGAGGAAGAGGAGGATGAGGAGGCGGAGAGGAGGAGGGAGGAGGAGGAGGAGGGGGAGGAGGAGGAGGAGGAGGAGGAGGAGGAGGAGAGGAGGAGGAGGAGGAGGAGGAGAGGAGGAGGAGGAGGAGGAGGAGGAGGGGAGGAGGAGGAGGAGGAGGAGGAGGAGGAGGAGGAGGAGGAGGAGGAGAGGAGGAGGGGGAGGAGGAGGAGGAGGAGGAGGAGGAGGAGGGAGGGGGAGGAGGAGGAGGAGGAGGAGGAGGAGGAGGAGAAGGAAGAGGAGGAGGGAGGAGCAGGAGAAGGAGGAGTACGAAGAGGAGAATGAGGAGGAGGGGGAGGGGGAGGAAAACAACTCCCGGGTAAATGTCACCAAGGCAAAGCGAAAAGAGGAGAGGGAGCGACCGCACGTCGGCTCCTCTCCCTCCTCCGCCTCCTCCTCCTCCTCCTCCTCCTCCTCCTCCTCCTCCTCCTCCTCCCTCTCCTCCCCCCCGAAGATTGATGACGGCGCTGACGACTACGACCACGACGACGACGGCTGCGGCGACGACGGTGACGACGACGACGACGACCACGACCACGACGACGCTGGTGGCGACGACAACAACGACGAAGACGACGACGACGCGATTGCGACGACGGCATTGCGACGACGCGAGGAAGTCGACGACGTCGACCACGACGACGACCACGACCACAACGACAACCACGACCACGACGACGACGCGATTGCGACGACGACGACGAATACTACGACGACGACACGACTGCGACGACGACGAACACTACGACGACGACGACCACAACGACAACCACGACCACGACAACGACCACGACGACGCGATTGCGACGACAGCATTTCGACGACCACGGCGACGATGACGTCGACGGCGACGACGAACATGACCACGACGACGACGACGACGCGATTGCGATGACGGCATTGCGACGACGGGAGGACGACGACGACGACCACGACCACGACGACAACCACGACCACGACGACGACGCGATTGTGACGACGGCATTGCGACGACGCGACGACGACGACGACGAGGTCGACGACGACCACGACGACGACGACGACCACGACCACGACCACGAGCACGACAACGACGACGACGGCAACGGCGACGACGACGACGCGATTACGACGACTGCATTGCGACGACGCAAGGAAGACGACGTTCACGACCACGACAACGACCACGACCACGACCACGACCACAACGACAACCACGACCACGACGACGACGACGCGATTGCGACGACGCCACTGCGACGACGCGAGGAAGACGACGACGACGACCACGACGACGACGACGACGACGACCACGTCCACGACCACAACGACAACCACGACCAAGACGACGGCGACGACGACCACGGCCACGACCACGACGACGGCGACGCGATTGCAACGACGCGGGCGCGCGCGGACGAGGCGCTGGCCAGCGCCTCGCGGGGCACATCGCCACGCTGGCGCGGGAGCACGCCGCGAGCCGTGAGCAGCGCCGCGAGAGGGAGGCGCCTCCTGCGGCGCCTCTCCGTGAGGCTCGAGGTTCGATGGTCGGTGCCCTTGGTCGGGCCCCGACCAAGCGCACCGACCCGCTCCTCCTCCTCCTCCTCCGCCTCCTCCTCCTCCACCTCCTCCTTCTCCTCCTCCTCCTCCTCCTACTCTTTCTCCTCCTCCTCCGTTCCCTTGGTCGGGGCCCGTGGCGTGTCGCGTTTTTGGGCGTTTCCGTCGGTTCTAGGTGCTCGGGCGTCTTCGCCGATCCTCGCCGGCTTTCCAGCAGCTGCTTTTTTTTCCAGAGGCGCCCCCAGCGGGCTCGAGGTTCG